TTAGAAAAATTCCACCCTTACCTTTTCACAATTAGAAAGGTTATAAATAATGTATTTGGCTGAAAAGGAAGCTCAGCCTGTGGCAGATGGTATCATTCTAGAGTACTGGGGTTTCTGTGAAGATGGCATTCTTTCAGATCGGAACTTCAGCAGACTCTCAGAAAGAACCGAAGCTCTTCATAGGGAGCAGACATGTGCTTTATGGATCTTAGAAAAGCTTACAACTTGGCTCCTAGGATGAGAATATTGTGTCACACTGGGGTTATGAGACCCACAGCCAATTTCTGCCAACTTTCAAATTGCGTTTCCCAACACTGGAAGCTGTGGCCTATTCCTTGGCTGGTGTACTGTGTAGCATTTGAACTTGAGATTTGAGCTGCCTGAGTTTGGTCCGCTTGATTGTTTTATTCCCTGACCATCGGTGGTCTACACAGACCGGCCGCTGAGTAGGAAAACTTGCGATACAACTTGTGCCTTTTTCAAAGTGCTTTGGAGAGCTTGTATAAATAGACACCGAGAGAGAGAACTGGAATAACATAACCACCAAGCACTGCGACTTCCGAGACATCTGTGTGGATGTATTTTGAAAAACCTGGGAAGGGATCTCTTGCAAATTAATGAACAAAGTTTCTTTAAACTATGAGTCCTATCATGACAGCTAAAAATGATGCATCTGAAAAGATTCATGGGACAAGCTGCCATTACCTTTGACCCTTAGGAGCAAAAAAAAAAAAAAAAAATTGTTTCTGGTAGCTTCCAGTAACGGCTAATTCAGTGATCTTTGATCCTTTGATTGATCAGCTAATATATGCCCAGCCCCGTTGTGAGTCCAGGCCTTTCAGACATGCAACCCCAAGACTGACAGCAGCAGGAAGAATGGTGGGAAGGTGCCATGTGCTGGATCTACACCAAGTCAGGAAAGGCTTTGCAGAAGCAAGGGTGCCTGAACTGGGTCCTGAAGAATGAGCTGCTGTTAGCTAGAGAGGAGAGAGGGCACAGCTCGAAAATCCAAGTCAGAGAAGCGGTAGATGTCTTCCTGATACCTGCTACTGGGTACAGGCCAGCTTCACAAAGATACTGCCAGATTGGAATATTGAAACAAATGGTGGAAATACTTTTTTTTCCCGGGGTGTGTTCTCTTGTTATCCCTTGACCCGAGTTAATAAATTTAATTAGTCTACTCTGTTCTTCGGAAGAAAATTTGACATAAAATAACAACATTTGAAAATTTTATCTGATGCTCTTCTGTTATTTAAAGCATAGTCTTTGGACTGATCTGAAATGTGATCATATAATAAAAGCCAGTGAGGAGGAGGCAGAGGGTTGTCATAGTAATTAACGTATCTTGAAGTCCATACTTGGTCTGTTCCCGGCTCTGTGCTAAGAGAACCATATTTATCTTATTTATTGTCTGTGTAAGTGTGGATAGTATGTCTCTTCGGGTCATTATTTTTCTAGGAACTTGCCTAGTGCTTGGCACCTAGTAGGAGTTCAGTAGATAACATGCTGAATGAATGGGAAAAAAATGCCTGAATGAATGGATTCTCAGAACAAGCCTGTGAAGTGAGTGTTGCTGTGATTCCCATCTAGTAAGGGGGATTATGATAGAATGAGTGGCCAGTTAATGTGACCAAGGTCACACTGCCTCTGTGCGACACATTTTGGACTTGAATGCAGATTTAGCTATTCTCTTTCATCAAATGAATATTTAGTGTGTATTTAGTATATGCCAGACATTTGGGGCTGGACAATAATATAGAGCCCCAGAGCTGCGTAAAGTACAACTTAGTATAATCTTTTTAAACCAAAGGCTTTTTTTTTTTTTTTTTTATCAACATAAGAATCCCAAGCCTCTTTCAAAATGTGGATCTTGATCTGCCTACCCCCTGCATATCCCCATCCCCTAGGCAGATAGTACCAACCTTGGCTTTGTTATATGTGTTCTCCAAATAACTGGTGTTTCTTTATGATTTTCTAAATTTAAGAACCAGTACTGAACATAATCTTTCTTTCTTTTTTTTTAATGCTTACTTATTTTTGAGAGAGAGAGAGACAGAGCGCGAGCAGGGAAGGGGCAGAGAGAGAGAGAAGGAGACACAGAATCTGAAGCAGGTTCCAGGCTCTGAGCTGTCAGCACAGAGCCCGATGCAGGGTTCAAATTCACAAACTGTGAGATCATGACCTGAGCTGAAGTCAGAAGCCCAACTGACAGCCACCCAGGTGCCCCTAAATATGATCTTTCAAATGCCATGTGACCCACAAGATTCTGAAATCTCTTTCTTGCCCTCAAAATTCATGGTCTGATGCCACAGCTAAGTCTCCCAATAGGGATTTTACCACATGGAAAAAAAAAAATCCTGACGCAGTGGTACTTGAGCAATTTAGTTGTACAGATTACTACATATTGTTCTAATAAAAATAGAGGTCACCTCAAGTTACCTGAATTATGGAATATTCCCTAGCCCCCTGAAAGCACAGAAAGAATTTAAAAAGTGGCTTTGACATGTGTCATAACCTGTGGATTAGCCTTTTCATTTACATCTTGCTTAGGCTAATATTTACATTAATCAGAGTTTTTTAAGCACACATCACTTGACAGAGTAGAAAACATCCAGAAAGTCACTTAAGGACAGAGCCTACCGAATGGGGTTAAACAAGGGCAGGAAGAAGCTTTGATGATCATGCACATATGGATATTATTTTCCACATATGGATAATAATGAACTACATAGCACTATTACACATGGGCTCTAATTTTATAAAAATATTTCAGATGGGTTGTCTTACCACGTACCGTGTATTCTTCCTTTTGTCCCCCCATATACTTTCCACTGTTGGTCTGCTAAATCACATTAAATTGAAGTAATCTGTTTATGTATCTGTCTTCCTAACAGATGGTAAACTTCTAGGCAGAGGCTGTGTCTTATCTGCCTTTGTGTCTCTAGTATCAGCTAGACACATAGTAGGTGTGCGGCAAAGAACAAATTTCATGTATAGAACTGTCGGCAAACTGAAATAGACTGAGTGTCAGAAACCTCAGCGAAATTGAGATATTCCCATACGTTTCTGAAAACTAAGGCATAAACTACATCTACAACTTGTATGTACTATTACATTGACATTTAAGAAACTGCCAGAATATCTAGGAACAAGAGTAATAATTTTTTAAAAATTGGACCAAAGTTGAAGAGCATCAACTGTCATCCATTTGCAGAATCACCATTATCCATCAGCGATCTGAATAGTTTTATTAGTGTCTGACTTTATTGATCCATTATTACAATAGAGTAAGTGTGATTGAAGCTGACGGATTGTTAACTGGATCAGGTAATCTTCTGGCTCTGGTGTTGGCAACCTTGCTAAGTATCTTTTTGTACTCTGGACTGAGGGAGGCTCTTAGTAGAATTGCAAGCTACTGGATTAATGGCAGAGAATCACGAGCACATTAAGAATGTCTTTTTAGAGAAATAAAATGTAAAAATGACTATAAAGTAGAAAGTGTCCAAAAAAAAAAAAAAAAGCTATCATGGTGCCTCTTACGAAAGCCGTGTTTTACACAAATAATACAACGCTGGCTTATTTTTCACTGGAAGTTCTTTAAAGAGCCCCAAGAGTTAGATATTGCAGGAACTTGTGCATGTTACAAAATTAACACTGTATGGATGTCAGGAGAATCAAGAGTCACCAAAAAAAATTTAAATTAGAAGTAGCTTAAAGAAGATAATGATATAAAAATACTTTTGTCCCCAAACTGGCTTTTCTGGTTGTTGCCTGCCTCCCAAACAATGCTGCCTTCTGTAAACTATTTCACCATAGACCAACTGAAGTCTGAAATGTAAGTTCTCATGTTTCTACACATAGGAGTGGAGGAAGGATTGGTGGTACAAGTCTAATTATTCCTAAAATGCAGCTGGAAATTAACTGAGCTGCTACTAGGTAATAAGGGCATTAGAGTTAAAAAGAACAACAAATTAAGGTACTGAAATTACCATAACCGAAATTTGCTGGGAAGAAAACACGTTTGTTTCTTGGAGATGAATAAAAAAAAAAAAAAAAAAAAAAAAAACACCCAAAACTTCAAAATCATGGTCATTCCTCTCTTTATTTTTATCATGTTAAACCATTGATTCCGTCTTCAGGGTTTTTGTTAAAAGCAGAGTGAAGACAAGTGACAAAATAGGTCATTTTCTTTTTTGTGGTATCCTTGAGAAATTTAGTAGGCATGAAATGCGTATCTTTTAAAATTTTACGGTTAGTTTGGAATTCAAAATTCAGCTTTACTGTAGATGAAGCTAGCGATGAGATTGTAGAATGTTTCTTTCTCTAAATAGAGGGGCCCTGTGAATAGTGTATTTTTTCCCCTCAATGTGGTCCGTTCACCTCTGAAGAACGTTAGCGTAGTTAATGCACCTCCAGCTAAAACCCAAATAATAGTAGAAAGTACAAGTAGTATTTCCCAAACTTTATGCACACTCAAATCCCTTGGGGATCTTGGTAAACTGCAAGTGCTCATTGGCTGTGTCTGGGGTAGGGCCCAAGATTATGCATTTCTAATAGACTTCCAGGTGATGCTAATATTGCTGGTCCCTGGGCCACACTTTGAGCAGCAACGATGTGTAGTCACTTAACCTCAAAGTAGTGTTTACTTACGAATTGCAGTCATAAAGTCATCTTCACGTATTGGGATTTATTGAGATGAGTGTAAGTTTGTCAGCCTAAGAATAGATGGCAGTGATGGAGGTTCCATGAGTACTAGAGTAAAGTCTGTTGGTTTGATAGCTTTATACTGGTCTCAGGGGGCTGTTGCTTTCTACTTAAATAAGCGTTCGATGTGCTACTTAATGAATTTTAAGAAGTTGAGGCTTTAGGCCAAAGCATGAAACAAAAATGTATTGGTACTCAGTTGATTTAAAAAAATGCCATTTACACAATTGAAATGATTTTTGTGTTCCATCTTGTGCCGATATGTATTACAAATGTTTTCCCCCCTCTTCATGCAGAGTATGATTTCTTCCATTGTGAACAGCACTTACTATGCAAATGTCTCAGCAGCAAAATGTCAAGAATTTGGAAGGTGGTACAAACATTTCAAGAAGACAAAAGATATGATGGGTAAGCAAAAAACTGTTGCAGTGGTGACTACATACCATTATGTGTCATTTGGGGGTTTATCAAAGTCACATCTAAAGCCAGGTCTTGTGATTGCCCAATTAGAGATCAATTTAGGATGTTTCTTTGAGGGTGGGGAGTGGGTATGAGTATAATGAGATAATTAAATTCAATAAATGTTTGTGTTTAAATCAGCCAAACTGACTTGGTTGTCAGACATGCAGGAAATCGAGGCGGGAGGAGGGAAGCTGTCATTTCTTAACATCTCAGTGAAGACCTAACCAGGCCTTGAATAACTAATATTAGCTGTGATTTCGCTCAGAGATAAATCATGCTTTTATGTGTTTTGTTTTTGTTTGAGAGGAAGAGAAAGTGCCTATTTTTACTCCCAATTTTTAAGGAAATTAAATTGTATTTATAGTTTCCACAGTTGAGATCAAGTGAATTTTATAGCTCTGATCCCCAGCCCTTTTAGATGGGCACTTCGGTGAGCTTCACCGCCCTGATAGCAGACACATCATTGTACCATTTCTCAACTTTTAATTCCAGTGTAGCATCCCATCTTAGCGTGCAACTCCAGGTCAATATGTGTTGCGCAGGAAATGCATTAAAAATTATCGGCAGTGTGAGACGACACATACAAGTTGTGTGCTGTACCTGAGCATTTAGACGGTGATGTTTCTCCCTTTTGAGTTTGCTAATGTTGCCAAAGCAAACACTGTGATTAAGGTTCATGTTTTAATTTCTATTAATGTTTTCTTTCACATACTTGTACCTTCCAAATAATGCATTTTAAAATAATATAGGAACAGGATGTTTAATATGCATAGCATTACGTCCTGTTTTAAACCTGTGTCTCTTTCCTTCCATTGTGTTCGTTTAATAACAACAATAATGACTTTTCCTAAAGATTTTAAGAAACAAGAGAACCTGAATTTTGAGTGTGTTTTAGCTTTTAATATTCGAAGCAAAGCCATCCATCTACCAAAACAGATTCTTTGCCTTTTATAGCTTAGAGCTGTAATGAAGACAATGCATCATTTTTGGAATAATTGCTTGAATTACTATTCCCTGTGAATGGCCCACTTGGGCTGATATCACTGGTAGAAATGGAAGGTTTCTTTCCCAATTCTTAGTTATATTTTGCATATATCAGTGATTGTAGCAATATGATAAGTTCCTCTAAATATAAAGCCTGAATATTTAATAAAAAGAGAAATGACGATGGAAATCAAGCCAGAGTCTATACATGGGAGGTATGGTGTGCTATTTGGAAAAGACTCACCTATTTACATATAACAGCCGTGCTCAGCCTTTCCAGTCAGGAGCATCAAACCGGTCTCTTCCTTGCTACAGCAAAACATTGGACACACTGACAGCTGACTCTCGGCCAGTCCGCATTAGGGACCTAGCCAAGGGAGAAGCATTCATCCTGATAGGTGGTAATAAATTGCAAAATCGTGACAGTATCACCGTTGCACCAGGATGATTCTCTGACCCTTCTTGAAAGATTGCTGATAGCCATAGCTTCTTCAAGAAACATTTGGCTCTTGGGGCGCCTGGGTGGCGCAGTCGGTTAAGCATCCGACTTCAGCCAGGTCACGATCTCACGGTCTGTGGGTTCGAGCCCCGCGTCAGGCTCTGGGCTGATGGCTCGGAGCCTGGAGCCTGTTTCCGATTCTGTGTCTCCCTCTCTCTCTGCCCCTCCCCCGTTCATGCTCTGTCTCTCTCTGTCCCAAAAATAAATAAAAAACGTTGGAAAAAAAAAATTTAAAAAGAAACATTTGGCTCTTACCAAAACTGGGTATACTGGCTTGTAGTACAGTAAACCAGTCGCTTCATTCTCCGGTGGATATACTTGCAACCGGTGATAGTTAGGATTAAATGAAACAAACCATATAGGATACTCAACACAGTGTTCAGTATGCACTCAGTTATTATTACTTACTGTGCTCACTTTATTATATTGATTCCTTCTTTACAATCCATGGCTAGGTAAAAATTGAATGCAGATAACATTTATGTCCTCTTTTTCCTTTCAAAACTTTTGCTTCGAGTAATAACAGTCAATATCTATCATGAGAAAATACCTGGATATTTCTTTTTTCTTTAGTGCATATATTTTCTTAGCCCAACTCTTTCTAGTTGCTCTTAAGCACATGGTGTTCTTCTAGAAGCTGTTTTAAAAAAAAAAATTCCTTATAAGCCTTCTTGGGGGTAATAAGTGAGAGTGAAAAATAGTTTGACCCCAAAACTAGTCACCTGGAATTTGAAAATAATTGATTTTATGCCTTAAGTCTAAACCACATTATAAAATTAGATCTGAAGTATTGTATTGTCCCCCTTTCAAAGTTTGTGGAATTGTGCGGAAGCGGAAAGTAAATCCATAGCCATTGGGTTCCATCTTAAAATTTTCTTTAGTTCAATTGGATTTTCAGCGTGCCCTGTGCCTCTATTTAAGAAATGATCAGAAATGCTTATCAATACCCATTACTGTTGGCTTAACATGGCTTTACTTTTGTCTACTTTAGTCGAAATGGATAGTCTTTCTGAACTATCCCAGCAAGGTGCCAATCACGTCAACTTTGGCCAGCAGCCTGTCCCAGGGAACACAGCTGAGCAGCCTCCGTCCCCCGCGCAGCTCTCCCATGGCAACCAGCCCTCTGTCCGGACCCCTCTACCGAACCTGCACCCTGGGCTTGTGTCAACGCCCATCAGTCCTCAATTGGTCAACCAGCAGCTGGTGATGGCTCAGCTGCTGAACCAGCAGTATGCAGTGAATAGACTTTTAGCCCAGCAGTCCTTAAACCAACAATACTTGAACCACCCTCCCCCTGTCAGTAGATCTATGAATAAGCCTTTGGAGCAACAGGTTTCAACCAACACAGAGGTGTCTTCCGAAATCTACCAGTGGGTACGTGATGAACTGAAACGAGCAGGAATCTCCCAGGCAGTATTTGCACGTGTGGCTTTTAACAGAACTCAGGTCAGTTTTGTTCTTTTTGGAATGGTTCTCTCTCTCTTTCTCTCTTCTTTCTTTGGTCCCAATTTTTTGCTAATGCTTATTCTTTTGCTCTGTGCTCTTATTTTTTTACTCTACGCTTACTCTTTTCAATTGTTCTTGTTGTGTGATCATATTGTCTGTTCTTGATGGTGCCTAAGTCTTATCACTCCTTTCCCTATCATAAACCTCCTCTACCAAGAGCTACGTACAGATTGATCTTGACTCAGGGGCTTTGAAAGAATAAATTCAATATTGAATATATTTCAAACTGGCATTACCTATGTTTTTACCTAATGAGGTCATAGACTGTTAGTAGTAGCAGGTTGAGAAAAGTTTCATGACTTGGTCAAGGCCATTGGTAAGACTCCAGGCTTCTAGCCTACTATCTTCCCCCTGTTATCCCCATATCAAGCATGAGTATATAAACATGCCCTGTTTAAGTTCCTCTACAACTTTCTGGAGAAAAAACAAAACAAAACATATTGTGAGACTCCATAGCAATTTCTGCCATTTAATTTGAACAGCCATTTGGGGGAAAAATATATGGGGTGTGTGTGTGTGTGTGTGTGGCTTATTAACATAAAATGTTTCTGAGCTTTGTCCTCTTCCCTCTTTACATTATTGTTAGTATTCCTTCAAACTTCATTCTTTAGATCAGAGATCAGCAAACCTTTCTGTAATTGTCCAGAAAGCAAATATTTCAGGCTTTGAGGGCCATCAGGGCCCTGTCAGGGTGTGGGTAGCATGGTCACAGCCAGGGACAATAGGTGAATGGATACGGGTGTGGTGGTGTTTCAGTAAAACTGCCTATAAAACAGGCCCCCTGGGAGGTTTGGCCTGAAGGCCTTAGTTTGCTGTCTTTTCACTGAGACCTGCATATACCCCTGTGTTCACACCTTTGTCCTCCTGGGCAAATACCTGTGAGGATATTATCAGCACAGAGGATGTTTAGAGGGACCTGGAGAAAGAGTGATGTATGATATGAGAAGGCCTAAGATGAAAAGTCCTAAACCAATTCTATTAAATTGTAAATGAGAGGGTTTTTTAAAATTTTCTTTTTTTTTGGAAATTAGTATGGTATATATGGTGTTTATTTTTGGCCCAGGCACACTAAAAAAAGACAAAAGAACATGTAACTTTGATTAGAAATGAGGACATTACGTCCTTTCAACTTCGTTGTTTTACCAGGGTTCTTTTCTTTTGTCAGGTTTTTTTTTGGACTGACTCATATTTTCCTTTCATATTTAAGTTATTTTGTTTATTACGTGATTATAAGAATAAGATTCTGGTATAAAAATAATCTAGTATTAATTACTTGCTGGCAGAGTTTCCATACCTAGGAGAATCCCAGCAGTGACTTATTTTTGGCTTGCCTTAACTGGATTGAAAGTTAGGAGACCTGACAAAGCCTTTAACTCAGTGTTTGTTTTCATTTTCTTTATCTGTTTTTTTTTTGTTTTGTTTTTGGGGTTTTTTTGGTGTGTGTGTGTGTGTGTGTGTGTGTGTGTGTGTGTGTGTATCATTTGTCTTTTTTAAAGGGTACTTGCAGAGGGTAATTTCTCAGGTTAGTATGATTTTAACTAATTTTATATTTTTACCACTTAAAAATGTTAATTAGTGGCTGGTAAATTTCATGACATTTATATCAGTTGGGAAGTTATTATTTAAAAAATTAAATGAGTGAATGAATCAAAAGTCAAACTTCTACTTATCCTGTGTCTGGCAGCATTCTTTATTTTTGTAAATAGCAGTAACTGCTAGTATTTCTCAGTACTGGGCAAAAAATAGGTCTCTTCATAAATGATCAGTAAAATGTTTGTCAATTTAATTGAGAGCCCACAAAGACAACATTGACATAAACGCAAATGAAATACAGATTTGCTAAGAAGTGTTTTAAAAACTGAGCAAATTGTTATTTCTTAAAGCACTAAGGAATCTGCTTTAAGAAACAAGGAATGAAATAAGAATGTATTTTATATGGTGAAGAATGACAAGGTCTTAAAGCACTAAGGAAAGTATTTTACATGGTGAAAAGTGACAAGAGAGTTTAGCTGAGGGATGTGTGAAGTCACTATCCATCTGTACGGTTTTTCTTCTCTTGGGTTATGATGTCACGCCGTTACTCTGAAGGGTTGACCATTTGTCCTGCCTTTGGTTCCCACATTGGCTAATTCCATGGATATCTCTAGGATTTGTTGCTGGAAAGAAGGCAGAATTCTCTCTTTATACCATAGTAATCTCTTTAAAAAGACAGTTATCTCTGTGGTTAAAACACCAAAAACAGTGACTTAATTTTTCTGAGGCTGGTAGGGGAATGAAAACAGTGACAGCCTCAGTACCAAGCTCTCTTTAGTAATAATAGCTAATTTAGAAAAAGTTACTACCGTAAAAAATTATTTGGAGCCCTGGGTGATAGATTTGGTTTTAAACCTGTATATTGGTAATTGGTATGCCTGAGTCAAAGTGGATATTGGCCATATTTGAAGCTGTTTTACTTCAATAAGAGTAATTTTCTATGTATATTTAAGTGTTCACTTTTTGGGAACGAGCTTTTGAACATGCAAGCATGCGTGTGTTTTTGGTGGTCATACTTAAAAACCACACACGCGCGCACGCACACACACACAGCTGCATTTATTTTAATGATTATACATTCATATGAATGCATGTAGTGTGTTTATTTCGAAGTGTATGCATTTCAATAAAAGCAGGTGCAGAGTGAGAGTGTATGGTGTGAGTGTGGCGTACGAAAATACACATGCTAATGCATATGTATAGGCAAGGAACTCTGCAGAGTTAAATCGCACATCACACATTTGCGTGCACTTACTACAATGTGCAATTCCAACTCCGAGTTTTAAAAAATTAACGTAAAATATGTACATGCAAAGGCAAAGTTATATGATACGATTGAATAAAGAAATTTGTACCCTATAAAGAGTATTTTAAAACATTAATGTAATAGATAATGCTGTTATGAGTTGAGAGTATTTTAGTCATTGACAGTTCTGTGCAACTTTAAAATCCTGGATTTCATGTTTTAACTCTTCACTGGAGAATTTTCTCGTCATCCTAATTGGGTCTCCTAAAACCCCTCTCTTAAGACTTTCACACATGACTGTTAAAAAAAAAAGTTTACCTTTTCTGAAAATTTATGGTGAAATTTATATAATTACTTGTTCTAAGGACTTTTTCCCCTTCTAAATTGATGGGCATATGTGCTTTAATTGCTACCAAAGGTACCAGCTTTTAGCATATGTCATTCATTCAGTTATACCTACTTGATGTCTTTTTAGTGGAAACCTATGGCTAAAAATAATTGTCGAAGATTCTAGATTTATACTTTTCAGTTCACTTCCCTATATTATTGCTATTTAGGGATTGTGATAGAAGCAAATATATTTGTTCGTTAGTGCCTTTAAAAAATTAAAAAAATAAAATAAAATCCAGAATCTAACTCTGATCCCATTCTGTGGCTTTTTTTTTTTTCCTTTTTTCTCCCCACACCCCTTTGGCACACTTTATTTTCCAGTAAAATAAAGAATGAAGATGGATTATTCAAAACTGATAACAGTAATGGACCATCATGTAATGTTTTATTGAATTTGAGTTCTGTAAATTATGTGGTGGAGAGAAATTTGCCTGCTTAAGTATAACAGAAATTGCTACTGTGTTCCTATAATTCTTCACAGTGTAATTTAAGGAAAGTCCACTATCCATATCACTATTGAATAAAAGGTAAAAAGGTGCTATTACCCCAACGTGACAGTTCTCGTTTAGCCTCCCAAGCGACAGAGATAAATGCGTCTGCTTATAACTTACTTGGCAGGCGTCCAAGGTAGTAGGTGGAGTTGAAAATAGTCTTTCACCTGGACATGTGATTAAAAATTCACAAAACAACAGAGGTAGGTAGTCTTGAAGAATATTCTACTTATTTTCTTTTTAGGGAGGGAGGTTTCATAAAATCCTGTTTTCCTTCTGAGGGCTTTGAAGTTCCATGAAGCTGATAAAATCTATTTGAATCAGTGATTATGTTCAAAGAGGAGACAAACGGGAGGCCAGACAGGCCTTTTGTTCAGATTGGCAGTCTCTTTCGCTTATCTGCTGTTTTAAAGAATTCATAATTAGCTTTTGGAAGTACTGATAATATTTATTGAAGGTTTTTTTCTTTCTTTTACAATTACTAATGAATTTTACTTGTAATAACTAGTAAACTCTTTTTGGAATGTAAAAAGGGTTTAGGAATTCATCACTAAGTTCACTAAGTGAAGAAAATTGGAATTCTCCCTTAACCCCTGTGCAATGACAATGCAGAATAATTTTCTGTTTTTATGTACAGAGCACATAGTGCATTATTTGATGATGTAAAGTCCCAATGAAAAGCAGCTTCTCATTTAATATAATAAAATTAATATTCATTAGTTGTTGGTAACTTACTACATAACACACAAATTCTCAAGTTCTTTTCGGAGGCAAGAATGACTGATGATTTTGTTTGACTTTGTTCAGTAAGTTCATTGAGCACCTATGATCCACAGTACATGTTTTAGTCCTGGTGTTTTAGTATAGTCTCTAAGATAGCAGGTAATGTACATGAAGAGCTTGACATATTATTTTTTTAGCATGAAGAAAAAATTTTGGTAATAGATCCCTCGTACTCTGCCCCATGGGGGATTGCTACAAATGACCTTGATCTAAGTCTGGACTATATTTTTGACTACGGGATATGGGAAACAGGGGCCATGTACATCTTGAGTCTGTAAATGCAACCACTCACATAACAACTTGAACGGGACCAGAACATGCATTCTCATATTCAGATTCTAAAGTCATTTTGCATACAGAATTATTCTCAAGTGACATGATTTTTTTTTTTTTTTTTTTTTTTTTGGTAATTAAAAAATTATAAAAAAAATATTTTATAAAAAAATTTTAAAAAATTTCCACCCCGGGGGGCCCCCCCCAATTTAAACCCCGGGCCAAAAAAAAAAAAAAAAAAAAAAAAAATCCAAAGGTTTCTACAACACCTGACAGTGTCTACACTCACTGCTTTAGAGCTCTTTGAGTGTTCCAAGATTCAAAATATTGCTTTAGACCTTAGCATAGTGCAAGCAGAAAAACTGTACTTGCTGCAGTGGAATAATTAAGTGGAAATAAATGCTCTGCCCCTAAAATACTTTATATGCTCAACTGGGAAGTCATGCCAATATCAAAATATGGGAAGAGGAAATTTTAAATTCTCTCCCAAGTGATGTGTTGTCTTCTACTTTAAGCACGCAGGATTGACTTAGTTTCATGTTAACATGACTTGATAGAGAATATTAATGTATTTTTTCATGTGTTTGCTTTTCTCACTATAGTTGTCTGCTATCTCAGAAAACATTTTTAATAGGGATGATACAATATTTTGTTACTTGAGATTTATAAATGTCTAATTTCAAGGTTCCCAAATACAGTAACATCCTAAATATCTGTAGGATCCTTTTGACCTAATCTGGTTTTTTTAAATTATTGAACAGTTAGTGTAGATGAACATCTTACGTAGCGCCATGTAACTTTTCATTGAAGGCTTACTTTGATTAAATTAGTAATTGCCACTAAAATTTGCCCATGAGTAGCATATCTTGTTCTTGAGTTTCTATCACTCATTTACAATTTTTTCCTTTTGTGGTCTGAATACACGTAATTAATCCACTTAGTAAATGTTTATTAAACACTCATGTGATAGGCATTGTGCTGGGATGACAAATAGGAATATTAGGTTATTATGCTCAAGGAAGTGAGAGCACTGTATTTGTCTATAATGTACCTTTCTATCTCTTGATTTCTGTGTGGTTCACATATATTGCTTTGCCAGGCACATTGTTTTAATACGTAACAGTTGGTGGGGAAAAGTAGAGACCCAGGACTATTTTTCACACCTATTTTCAAGCATTTTTTGAGACCTGTATTTTTTGGTTTCAGTGTGACACATCCAAAACAGTCAATCTAATTAGTTGGCCTTGTGCAAATTAAATAGCTGGATGATTGACTGCCTGTTTGACTAAATTTTAGTTAAATTGACTGGATGTTTTATTCCTGTATAAACACAGTTGCAGCATTACTTGTCAGTATTATGAATGAAGGGACATGCACCCTTCATTCTTCAGTCACATTTCTTACGGTAAAACAAAGTTTGGTTCCCCTTTCCAGACCAAGTGAGAGACTAAAATTTAGCAGTAAGCCCCCGAGCCTATTAGAGGCTCTTTTTAATAGCAGCCTGTTCAAATCATTTTTAAAGTGGACCATGGTTTTATACTCTCTGCATCCAAGTGTTCTATTTGGACAATGTGGTACCTTATCCCCGAAGAATTAGGAACAAAATTAGGTTTGCGTTTGTAGGAAGCCATGAAAACACCCAAATGTTATCATCTTTGGGCTCACTCGTTTTGATATGAAACTTTGCCTCCCCTTTCCCGAATGTACTCTTTCACCATTTCTGCAGGGCTGCTGGAAAGTGAAATTTACAGATTATATGGAGATCTTGGCAACATTTTATTTCGAACTGTACTGTGATAAACTGATACTCTGGCTAAACGTTGAAGGCAAACGTGTCCTGGTATTCCAGGCATTATTTCATGCACAAGATAGAACAGGTTAAAGGCTGCTCAGTCCTTATCAAATGGACAGAAAATTTTTGTAATCATTCTATTTCATATAATTCTTTAAACAAAAATGAGGAAACTCATTCATTGTTGAAAAGCTTCTCCTAAAAATTAAAAAAAAAAAAATTGGTTGACAATTCATGCTCTAGTATTTAGGGAGAGGGACACCTTAAAGGAGTTTACAATGGTTTGTAAATTTCTTCTATTACTAATAAAGACTTCTATTCCTTAAGAAATTCAGTAACTACAGAATTTGATAGTGTTCTTTTCCTGGGCATGTTATGATGGATTTTTGCAATGTAAATATGGGGTTATGTGTTTCAGATTTAATCAATGTTTTCTGAAGGTCAGAATTTCAACCTGTTACCCAGAGCATGACAGTATTTAGAATTTTTCGAGAGAGTCTGTATACTTTCCTTGAATGGTAAATACAAAGAATCACTTGTCATTGACTCTTAATTGAAGATTAAGGGATAACTTAAAGTACTGCCTGTGAAAACGTAGCATAAATCTTAGATGATGCTTTAGTAATACTCTTTTTCTAACAATTCATCTTCTGATACTCTCTTTGAAAGTTCTACTTCTCTAGTAGTAGCTTTGTATCTTTATGTATTGGGCTGTCAGCCTTCCACTGCCTTTGTCTAGGCAGCTTGAGAACTATACAGTTCAATGCTGTTGTATTATGAGCATTTCATTTATTCTTAACTTCGCTCGATCGTCTCTCTGTGAAAGATTTCATGGCAAGTTAAGCTACTCAAAGGAAGGAGACCAATTAGGCAGCTTCAGTTTGTGTTACACGTAAAGCAGATGCTTAATAAAATTAAGAATACAATTGAGGCTCTCTCCTCTTTACCACTTCAAATGTAACTAATACATTTCTATGTAGAATTGATGCTTCTGACTGTTCATTTTCTAAACAGAGTGGAGAAGGAGAGGGAAGGATCACTGCTGGCTGGGCAGAGCTCAGGAGCAAGCTCACCCTGTGCCTTTCATTCCCTGCAGGGCTTGCTTTCAGAAATCCTCCGAAAGGAAGAGGACCCCAAGACTGCATCCCAGTCTTTGCTGGTAAACCTTCGGGCTATGCAGAATTTCTTGCAGTTACCAGAAGCTGAAAGAGATCGAATTTACCAGGATGAAAGGGAAAGGAGCTTGAATGCTGCCTCGGCTATGGGTCCAGCCCCCCTGATAAGCACACCGCCCAGCCGCCCTCCCCAGGTGAAGTCTCCTGTGCTCTTTGCCCTTCTTCTTTTTCTTCTTCCTTCTCCTCCTCCTCCTCCTCCTCCTCCTCCTCCTCCTCCTCCTCCTTCCTCCTCCTCCTTCTCTTTTTCCTCTTCTTTTTAATGTCTGAGGAAGAATCTCAACAAGAAATTGGAAAGATAGATGAATAGATACCAATTTTTCTAAAAATAATAATTCATAGAGTTGCTTGAGGAGAATTTGGTCCCAAATCAGTGATTCTGATATAAAAACAATAAGCTACTAATTAGAGGAAAGAAAATTGCTTTCTGTTGCTTCCTTTTGGGGGTTCTTGGGGGGTGAAAAGTAGTCTTTAAATGGGATGTTTGTCTCTACTACTATTATTAAGTAAAGAAATATTTTAAGCTCAATACGAGAAAAAGTAATAGTCCATTTTATCCCTCTGAGTTTTAGAACTGCCGTTTGAATAGTGAATAAATAAAAATAAATAAATAATTCCATTTGTATTTATGCTTTCCAATACGAACTGCAGCTGGTACCAATTACACATCATCTTGTTCGTAATCTTTCATAATTAAGTTTAATACAATCCTTGAAGGCAGCTTTAAATGGTGCTGATAAGGAACGCCATCCATATTCCCAGAAATGGGCACATTCTCTGTTTTTCTAAATTTTTGCACTTTTAGAAAAGACAAAAGTCACCATGCACTTGGAAGTAGGGACCTGTATAGGGGCCTGACTTTGTGTACATGTATCTATATTTATAGTTTTTAAATAGAGTTTTAAAGATAACCTTGTAATTATTATGAGAATTAAAGTTAAGTTGATTTGCAATACAAACTCGTAGATAAAAGTTTGAAATGGATTAGACTTCAAATCAATAGGCAAGTATATTTTTTACACATTTAATTTATAGCATGTGCAACTCTTAAAAATAAGGTCAGCTAAAGCTGGATCAAAACTGAATATGGGAGGCACCTGGGTGGCTCAGTCGGTTAAACGTCCGACTTCAGCTCAGGTCACAATCTCACAGTTTGTGAGTTCGAGCCCCGCGTCGAGCCCTGTGCTGACAGCTCAGAGCCTGGAGCCTGCTTCGGATTCTGTGTCTCCCTCTCTCTCTGACCCTCCCCCCTCACACTCTGTCTCTGTCTGTCTCTCAAGAATAAATAAACATTAAAAAAAATTTTAAAAACTGAATATGGAACATAAAATATTCATATAAGGTCATCATGAAATTGTATTTTGATGTTAATTTCTTTCCATCAATAGTAAAAAAAAAAAAATTCCCACCTTTCCAAGTATGGAAATATAGAAAAAGCTCATTCAACACTAAAAATGAAATTGCCACAGATAATAACTTCATCAGTAAAGAATAGACATAATATTCAGCCACTTGTTGAGGTCCTTAAGCTGTACGTTGTAATGTTCTGAAATGAATCTTTTGTGGAAACATCCAGAGTTCGTTTTCTCCATTTTATGTAATAAAAATCATTCGGTCTTGATGTCTATAGGCACAGAGTGTAAGGAAGTCATTGCTGTAATTGTGAATAAGAAAGTCATGGGTCTCTAGCAGAGAATAATGATATTTATCTGCATGTATACATATCTACCTGTCTACACATACAGTTACTGAATTTGATCTGTAAAGCCTTCCTTAAAATATTTTTTAAGAAAAAAAATGCAGAATTCTTTATGTATATATGTGTATACATACATATATATGTATATATGTGTATACATACATATATATGTATATGTGTGTGTGTGTATATATATATATGTGTGTGTGTGTGTGGTTTTTAGAGAGTGATTAAACAAAAAAATAATGTACTTTGGACTTGGTTTAACACTTAGTTTGTGGTGTTTAGAGTTAATGCACCATCGTTAGTTAACTTTGCTTCTATAATCGTCACAGAAGGCCTCTGGGCAAAGAGTTATTTTACTTATCACTTAATCTGCAATACTAACAAAAGAGTTGCTTACTTAAGATCAGTATGAACTTCAGCATTAAGCTGTTTCTTTTTTCTTTTTTTTTAATCTAAATATTTGACTTAGTAGTTCCTTAAGACAGTTTTGTTTTCTAATATTTCTGTGATTTTAATGCTTTTGTTTTTTCTAATGTGATTCTGCTATCCTTATTCATCAAGTTTTTCCTTTAGCCACATTTACATTAATTCTTAAGTGGTATTTCTTTTCATATACCATTAAGATACTCTTGGGTAGCTTTCTTATATATACACGTCTAAAGACTATGTCTGCTGGTAAGTTGGGAAGAAAATATAATTTATTTTGGCCTGCATTATTGATTAACTAGTTGAGCCACCCTTAGCTTTATTTGTTTGTTCTCAAAAGGGGTTGAGACCAAGCCCATAGCGGGGATACCCAGCCAACGATGAACGTGTATGTAAAGTATGTAGATACCACAGACTCTTAGTGAAACTCTTTCAAAGGAAAACAGTTTCTGTTAATGCAGAATTACTAGCCCTCTAACCAAATTCCGAAATGATTATCAGATGTGTGTAATTTTAGTTCACTGCTATAATATACATCTTCAAGTATCTTAACTTGCCTAAGAATCCCTTTGCATGACTTAATATTATTTTAATAGAGCTCATAACCACTTTGTCCACCTTTTACCCTTTAACGATGACTTTCTGAATTAAATTTTAAGAACTCTTAAATGTATTAAAAGTATTATCAATGTGAAATGAGTACTTAAGATTTGGAAAAATGTGTTCTCCAGCGGCAGAGTTAGTATAGTTTTGCAACAGTTGAAATGGAACCAATACACCATACTTAAGGTTTTAATATGTTTATTACAAGTGATTGAAATGGAAGGGGAAAAAAGGACAAAACCACAGATACAGAAACAAACTGCAGAATTTTATCTTTTTTAATTTTATATTTTTGACAAAGAGGAGTCTATCATCCCATTTCATTTCACCGTACAGGAAGAGATTCAAAACATATTTTGAGACAAGTCTTTGGCTTGGTTTGGAGCCGAACCCTGATTTCTTTCTAAAGTACTGCTTTTCAAAGGCAGAGGTCTCTTATGGCTCACAGGAGACCAGACTACCTTTAGTCCTGAGAGAGCTGGATTCTCTTCCAGCTCCTTCCCTGTAGAGTTGAGGTCATACAGAAGATGATTGATGTTATATTTTTAAGAGAGAGAGAGAGAGCACGCAAGTAGGGGAGGGGAAGAGAGAGAGGGAGATACAGAATCTGAAGCAAGCTCCAAGGCTCTGAGCTATCAGCCCAGAGCCAGACACGGGGCTCAAACCCATGAACCGTGAGATCATGACCTAAGCCAAAGTCGGACACTTAACTGTCTAAGCCACCGTGGTGCCCCCATACAGAGGATGATTGAGATATCTTCCCAAGGTCATACCAGACTAAGGACCTAAACTATTGAGTAACTTGGATTCTAAATTATCTTTAAGAAGGTTCTTCCCTGGTTTTAGTCAGGCCCCAAGTTTTATTCCAAGGAGTACTTCCCTGGGAAAATCTAGGCCAACCTCAGATATCACCAGAGCTCTTGGCTGGCTGCTGCCTAGGTGAGATGCTCCTGGTGCAGACCTGTCCCTTGTGCCTCAGTAGGGGCAACTGTGCCATGGGCTCTGTCCTCTGTCGGCGGCAGTTGGCTCTGGGCCCAACCTACTTGCTGAAAGCCTGTTTTCATAACTTACGTTTTCCAATTAAAGAAATAAGAGTACTTTGTACTTGATAATGGTTTCATAGTTCTCTAGCACCCTGATGCACGTTAGTTCATTGAATCCTCATTCCAACCTTTTGGTAGGAGAAAGAGGAAAAAAAAACAAAGTTAAGACTTTGTCAATTTTCATGACCCCTATTAAGTCTCTTGCTCTTTCTCCACACCTCAGGCCACCTCTTCAAAACGCAAACATTTTAGGAAGGGGAAAATGAAACGTGAGGACTTTTTCTGTTTGTCATAGAGGATGGGAAGTTTTATTTTTAGATTAGGAAGAGGAACACATGTGAGAACATTCTCCTGATACAATATGTTAAATGTTTGGCAAATGCTCTGCTTTTGAAGAGTTCAGACAGCTAGGCATTTCTGAAATTTTGGAGAGAGTAGCCCTTTCCAAACTTTGTTCGTATGAAAATGTCTGGGGGAACCCAAACCCTCCAAAGCTCCCTGGTCTTAAAGTTTCTTTTCTGATTATGGTTAGCAAATTTAACAAATGAGTTTATAAGAGGACTTTGATTAATAATAAGTAGTGATTATTTTCTGGGACTTGTCTGTTCCATGGAACAGATCAGTTTTAAGTTGATGATTTCTGTTTAGGTGTGTGCTTATTTGATTTTATTTGTGTGTTTCAATATGTGTGGCTTTTAGAGTTAGCAATTTCTGTTTCCATAAGGACTATTTGAAAGCCTCTAATTACCAAGTTATAACTTATACATGAATTACACGATTATTTTTCTTATATTTTTACATCTCTTTATGTAATTCTTTAGTTTCTCCTGAAGAAAAATGGGATATTTTATAACGGCATTAGAAAATGTCGTAAGTTCCTATTAGCAATGTATAATTTACATAGTGGCTACACCCTTCCGTCTCTTTACAGCAAAGTCTTCTATTATGTAATGAAACATGGCTTCAGCCATGGGCACTCAGTTAACATTGGATAAAAGTTTTGTTATGAATCACGTGGGCAGCATGATTTTAAGATCTTATATGCTTATAAGATGCTTCCCATTAACAGTCATCTTTTAAAATAACTAGAGGACTTTATAACGTCCGGATTAGGAAAATAATTAATATTGTTCCTAAAAAGAACAGAAAGAAAAGTAGCATGAAAAGATAGGACCATGATATTCAAGACGGTGTTAATATATAAAAATTTAAGAATGGGGACCATTTTCTGTCACTGGTAAAAGTACTTCAAAACAGCACATTCCTTATATAACAATTCCAAGAAAACATCTGTAGTTTATATACCTTGACAAATAAATTCAGGTTGGATTACTCCGGGTAATAACTAAAGCAGATAAAGCCGTTAGCTAAAAATTAGACATTAATGAGCCTGACTCAGCAAAAGGCCACCAAAAAGCAGGTCCAGCATATCTTTAAAAAGTAAGAGTTTTTCCAAATAAAGAACTCTTGTATAACATCATGACCTCAGTATAGTGCAGTGGTTTCTAAAATAAGCATTAGCATTAGACAGACTTGAGTTTAGAGCTCATGTTGCCTTATGAATAAATCACTTCTTTGTTTTAGGAGAGTTTTCTCAATTTTCAACTGGGGCAATAATAGTACGTACTCGGGCCTGTTGTGCAGGTTAGAGCTAATGTACCTGAACGTGATGCCTAGCATATTAGAAACAACTAATAACTGCCAGCCTTTGTTATTACCATAGTTACTGTTAAAACTACGACCAACTTTAATTGTGTGTGTGTGTGCGTGTGTGTGTGTGCGCGCGCACACGTGTGCACTAGGTGCTTGCAGGCAGTCCCTCCTCCATCAACGAATCGTACATACACTGATCAGGACCACAGTAGAGTTCGTTTTGAGTAGTATGTATGAGGTAGGTGGCATGTATATAGTACCCAGAGTTCGTTTGCCCGCAGGATTCGATGCATTCAGCGATCCATGGAGAAACAAAATAGAGTTTTCCTGGAAAACTTGCGTTCTCCTGCACAGATTTTAGTGAAATATAAAGCAGACCCCCGTGCTTGCACCCTGAGCTCACTTGGGAGGGTATAATCGTAGAAGCTCCGATTCTCAACTGCTTCCCCGGCGCCGCGGTAATGAGGGAGTAGCACACCCTACCTTGATAAAAGCTATTCGGAAAGCAACTGCATTTATTTTACCTCCTGTGCTATTTGCGGAGAAGAGCTGAAGAGTAGTTTGTTTTGCCTGGAATGAACTACTTTATGAATTTTAATGCGTGATATAATATTAAAAGCTAAACCAGGATTAACGAAGATTTTTTTTTGTACTAAGCTAAAATAGTACTTAGTAGAGTGAGGTAGAAAAGATTTTCGTTTCCATTTTTACCTGGGGAAAAATTCAGCTTTCATATTTTTGAAAAGCTGTCCAAGTCAGTTCCCCTTAAGCAATAGCTTGTGCTTAGGAAAAAATGTGATTCCAGAATTCTAATAGCTTATCTATGGTAAGATACATATCTGAGCCAACAAGATGATAAAGAAAAGCTTTTCTAAATATTTTTTTAAATGAGTGATAGAGTTTCTTTATATTTTAAAAAAAATTGTTGCTCTAATTGTTTTTTTTTTTCAGTTTTAAGGGTTTCGTCTGTACGCCTTTTCCACTTTTGATTGTGTTGCCTACTAGGAAGCAGTTACTTGATTTTTTTTTTTAATGATTTGAAATTCTTGCTTTTTGGTTCCAGTTGAAATTGCTTTTTTAAAAAAAATTAAACAGAAGAAATTTTTAGAAACCAGATCACAGGGTTGAAACAAATGATTATAGCCCACCTCAAAGATAAATTCTTAAACATAGTTTTTACAAAAGAATGACAATTATTTTAAAAACAAACTGAAACAAGTTTCCAAAGCCTGCTTCCTTAACTATTGCTAAGCAGATTGCTACCAAGGAACTTTCTTCCAATGTACTGGACTTCATGCCCCCATTTCCATAACATTCAATTTTCAAAGCGATTGAAATGGCTTTTCTTTTCTCTTTCATTTAAGCAGTGAGAAAAATAGGTATTAAAAGAGACCCCATGGGGTGATCAAATCTATCCTTCTGCCTCAAAGCAAGACCACCCCAGAGCAAAGTTGCGAATCTCACCAAAGCAACTTTGTACGCAATTTATGGTAATGCTTTAACTCTTCTGGCTCCTAAAGTGGTATTTAGCAGATTATTGCTTCAAAGCCCCGTGTATGTTCTTAGTGGCCTCCAGTCGTTAATATACCTCCAAGAGTGCCCTTGCATTCTGGAGCCATAGAGCTGGAAGGGGCATTCTGGAAATCACGCTTCCACGCTTGCCATTCCCATCTCCAGCTTGTAGGTTAGTCGTGGCAAATGAGGTCTAACCAGTTGGTGACTTACCCTGCCTTACTCTCTGTGTCCTCACTTGGGCCTGTGGCCCACCCATTTCACAGCATCATCCTTTCAGTGCCTAGAAGGGTGGTGTCCAAGTGGAAGAATCTCGCTGCCTCCTCAAGTTAAGCAAGTTAAGGGTGTTATTTTGCTAACTGGCTAGAAGTTAGGAGGCATGTTTTAAAGACTTCTATTTCCTCTCAAGTGCAGAGGATTGAATTGCTTTAGGATAACCTCTGCATATCTTTTGATAACCAAATATTAACGGCGATTCTGAAAGATTTGCAGCGTGATTAAAAGGATGTATCATTTCGTGACCAAAAAAAAAAAAAAAATCATTCATTCTGGAATGGACTTCATTTTCTGTTGCTCATTGTATATGTGAGGAATTGTCCAAGATGATAACGGAAACCTGAGCTCTGGAAGGGATCCTAAGAAATGTGGCCCTTAGTGAGTCATTTTGCTGGGAGAAGCAGGGTCCTGCATCTGTGGTGACTTCATTTACATTTTCCCCAATTTCCTGGTAAAAAAGCAACGACATCGTTTATATGTAAAAATTTCCAGGCTGATTCACATGACTGCATAATAAAAATTAAATTAGGAGTTTTAAAAATTAATAATAGTTATCAATAAATTTTGAGGTTGAGATTTTATTTTTACCCCCAAATTTTGTGTCATTTTCCTGCTGATACCTGCTTATTGTTATTACCAAAGGCATTGATGCTAATTTTTCACTCAAGATTATTCATTTTGAATGTATTTATAAAGTCACCAATTCTATAATATGTGTAACTTGTAGTAATGTTCTGTTAAATATTGTGAAACATTTTCTTATTGTCTGGTTCCACAAGTCAAAAGGAAATAGTTACATACTGGGGTGCCAGGAGAAGGATGAAATAATTATGCAGAACAGCTCGGACACGCACGTGTAAAATGCAACCAGCCTTTATGATAATTAAACAAGGCACTCTACCTGTTTCATGGATGGATAGAAGATTTAAATATGCAGCTTTGCAAATGGCTTTGTTATGGAAGATTTTAAAAATGAAACATAAGAGGAACAGGCATTGAAAAAAAGAGTCTAAAATTAAAAAGGCCATAGTATGTGATAGCTATTAGTGATGCAATTGTCTATTAGGCACCGGGCACCCAGTGAAGGTACAGCACTGGGCATTATGATTTTAACTGTGAATTTCCTTTGTTAGAATTGCAATGGACAGTAATTGGGAAACAATTAGTTTAGGGTTTTCAAGTCTTTGAAACTATTCTGTTTTCCAGAAAACTTACTTTATGATGCTCTAATTCCTGTTTGTCAGCTGGCAATTGCTGTCTTATTACCGATGCAATCACCTGTGACAATGTGACTTTCTTAACTTAAGCAATCTGATCTCGGGGTAATAACTAATGTTGAATGACTGCACTGTTGATCACCTTGATCGTAAAAGGAACAACAGTGTCCAGTTTGGATGCCGAGCCTGAAAAGCTTCAAAACAATTTGGCCAATGAAAAATGACAGTCATGTTGAAAATGTTTTGTAGGTGAAAACAGCTACGATTGCCACTGAGAGGAATGGGAAACCAGAGAACAATACCATGAACATTAATGCTTCCATTTATGATGAGATTCAGCAGGAAATGAAGCGCGCTAAAGTGTCCCAAGCACTGTTTGCAAAGGTTGCCGCAACCAAAAGCCAGGTAAGAGCCTCTGTTAGGCACTGAGAATGTCGATCCGCGATGCCTGTGAAAATTTCTTTCAGAGGGGTGTCTGTTTTCAGTATTGACCCTACTGAATTGACCCTATCGCAGTACTGACCCTATTGCATCCGTGAGAGGTCAGAGTCTCCAGGATTATTGACAGAGCTCTGTGATGAAAAAAATATGTTGTTCAGACTCAGGCAGTAGATAAGTGGTTCTGTTTCCTCCCAACACCTACTCTCCAGACCAAGGATTTCTCGGTAACTTTCTGGGGTCAGTTAATAGTTGTTTTCAGAAGGATATTGTAATGTAGAGGCAATTTCTCAATGTGGTCTATTGTACTGGTGCAAGTAACTTGAATTACTATTGTTTCGTTATTACTTAGATGACCTTGATCTCCATCCTAAGATACTGCAAACATAATAGTTTCTTCTGTTCCAACTCAGCCATCTGCATCTATTAGGTGCACTCACTAAAACAAACTAGCTCGCCCACCAAACAAAACTTTGCACATTAATGACCCTCATTTTTCCATAGATACATGATATGTAAGACGTACAGACTGAATTGCAACTAGAAACACTGTCCAAGTCTGGTAAATTAGAAATGAATAGAAATGAATTGGAAAAGTTACAAGTCCCCACTAAACAAGATGAATACGTAACAAAGGACAGAAAATGCAGTCCTTTATCAGTATAATTTTCATATATTGATAATTTGTGCCCATCAAAAGCAGGGTCATCCATAGGAACAAACTTATAATTACTTCTAAACCTTTGTTCAAAGCCACAAATACTTTTTAAAGGACCAAAAGAATACTGAACTGTCTTCTCCTTTACAAAATATTTGGTAACAAGATCAAGGTGGGGATTTAGAAGCAGTCAAGGGCTCAGGTGAGATTTTAACAACTTGCAATTTTAGACAGACACGTTTTCCCTATCATTAGTGAACTCTCCTTTGTAAAACGGCCTTCTTTGCTGCTGTCAACTTCTGATAAAAAATATACAATTCTGAGAGTACTTACACTGGATTGACTATACCATGCTTTTTTTTTTTTTTTTTTTTTTTTAGCTCTTCCTAAAATTTTTCTCTATCAGCATTAATCGTGGTACTTGATAGGAGTTTTGCTTTAGAAAAGGTTGTTCTTATTTAAGTTATAGACTGGTTGAAATACTTAAGGGATATCTTGGAAATGTTATATAAAAATGATTAAACTCAAGCTGTGGACTGTAAAAATTATAGCTTTATAGGCCACATGCCTGCCTACCCTTCAATCACTGTCAAAGTGATAATTTCTACAATAATATGTTTCTTTTATTGTGAGATTCTAAACATCAAGTGCTGTTTAAACATTAAACTGAATTGTTTATGTTAGTGCTGTACTCAGCGTGTCATACATCAGGCCACCGTAATCTCTCATGGAATGTAAAATTCTGTCATGAATCATGGCTTGTATATCGGAAATTACTGTAATTTTGATTGGAAATTACAGGGCTCTTGAAATGTTTCTAATTATGATAGAATGTTAGAGCCGCTTCAAACCTGTGTGCTTCTTCAGATGTCTTCATTTACATGCCAAGACTATGCATTAAGGAGAAATGTCCTGTTCTCCCTTTACCCCTTACCCACCCACCCTGCACGTTCTTGTTTGGGCTATTTAGTCTAATTATGATGAGGGTCTCCTATTCAGACGTATATTATCTTGCCTTTCTTTCTGATCCTACATCTTTTCTGACCTGTCCAATTAAATTAGCAAGAACAACAGACTGGATCCCTATAGAGCCCCTTTCTCCACTCCCCAAAATAGATAAACAGAGAAACTAGGTGTGTATTATTGTAATATATGGGGTCAGCCTTAAAACATACAAAATACTAAAACTTTTTGATAACTGTCGTTTCCTTGCTTGTCATCTGTCCTCGAATTCAGTGGCATTTCCTCCCTTCCCATTTCCTTTCCGAAACGCAGAGCTCCTTTAGGGTTGGCAGTCCCTTTGCTACCTTCATCCTTTCTTTCTCTTAAATGATGTCTCCACATCTGCCCAACTGGGCTGAGTTACTGATGTGGGAACTCTTTAGACAGTGGCGGCAGTTGGTTGGTCACGTCATGTGAGTGCTGTTCTGGTGAGTTTTTTAAACATCCCAGCTCTCTGCCCCTGTCCTAAGAAGCTCCTCGTGAGTCTCCTTCAGCAAGTGCCGATTGACAGCTTCTGGGCCTCTGCCAGGACGGTGTGTTTCCCAGAACCCCTTAACCTGATCCCCTCATTACTGAAGAAGGAAGAATCCAGGGAGCCGGTTGTTGGCTGTGGGGTCCAGCATAGTGTTAACTTTCAATCTCTCGGATAGTTATTCTTCCTAACTTCTACTCTCCTCTAACTTCCCAACAGAGGATTTTTGTAGTTTTCTCTTTGTTGGTCAGTTTAGGTGTTAGCACTGCCCTCATTATGAAACTATGTAGAAAGATTTGCGATTCCTTAAAAATAAGCAGTCCAAAAACTGTGTGTATATACCACTTGGAAAAGTGTGACTTAACAAGGGAAGTAGTCACTATTTAAGTTCTGTTCTGCCATGATTTTTGTGAAGGAAATGGAAAAGCCAGCAAATAACCCCGCCCCCCCCCCGCTGAAATCTTCAAACTAGATTGACCTTCTCGTGGTCAAAATTTTAACTTCTAAAAGAGCGATTTACTTCTTGGATGTATGTGTCAAGGCTTGTCAGAGTGTGGCAGAGGTCCCTGAAAATGACGTGTGTGTAAAAAGGGAAGAACAGAAGTCTTTTATCTCAGCCCGTCTCACTCCATCTGCTTCTGGTTCTCTGGGCTAGCTTACCTTCCAGCACCGTCTTTGTACTTAGACTCCACTGTGCGTTACGAATGACCTACATTTAATTCTCAGAGTAACCTTTTGAGCTGGGCTTGTTTTCCTCATTTTATACGCGAGAGTCACCGGACTCATAAATAGTAGAGCCAATCCTAATTTCTTGATTCTCTGCATCTGGCCTCCTATTTTAGAATTTCCTTGGGGTTCTAGGTAGCCTTAGTCCTGAAGTGATACCCTGCTCCAGGAAAGAGGAATTAGGGGTGTTGGACTAATTTGATCGAGGGAACAGTGAGAACTTTCCTTTCTTCATTGACGTTTCCATGGAATACGGGTTCTTACCAGAATAGGGTCCTTGGAATCCAGGCTTTTTCATGTCCCATTGTGCTAGGGGGAGATCCATGGGGGGGGGGGGGGCAATCCCCAAAGTAGGCTATGGTCCTGTCTGTATCACTGGTGTTATAATATTGAAAAATTATTTAACCTTTTTGAGCCCAAGATTCTTTTAACATGGGAGAAGGTCACACGCTACAATAGATGCAGAAGAGCTTCTAAATTATACAGCACTCTGAACAAATGGATAATGTCTTATAATGTGCTACCCAAGGGGCTCAGACCTCTACACAGAGTGACTTCTTGTTATCTGTGTATGTATCTGAAATACTTTCCATTTTAAACTAAAAGGTAAAGCTTTAGGTAGCTGGGAGGCAGTGTAATTATTTGAAAGTTTCCACGGTCCCAGAATGTTACGAAACCACACGTATCACAGTTGGGCTATGTACTGACTAATGCACAAAGTATTTTCAGTAAAAGAAACCAACTCTGTGGATTCCACCATTTCACATGTATTACATGATCTCTTCTTTTCGATGAGTAATAGAAATGGGATTGTTTTTAACTCTAATAGAAATGTCTGAATAAAATATGCAAGTAAAAACTGAAGGTAGGCTACTTTCTGTGCTTGGGTAGGAAAGCAGGCTAATGCAAACTTTAAAAAGATGATATGCTTTAAACATAATGTGAATAGCTCCAAATGAATACACTTTATATTCTGGGTATTCGAATAAGCAGCAGTTTTTCCAAGTGAATCATATTGGAATTTTATCAAACATTTAGTCTGATAACATTCAAATAATTATGAGAGCAGAATTTGCTAATTTTACTGTTTAAAAAAAAATAGTTGATTTGGGTAATAACCATTACGGTAGCAAGGTTCAGTTACTGTTCATTGGTTATAGTGTTTTCATATGGGAGATGGAAATGGAATTTTTTCCTTAATGGTGGCAGATGTTGGAATCTAATTTTATTCCACAGCAAACCCCCTGAGAGCTCTGAGACTTAAGGTGTATGTCCAGCAAGGGGACATTAGCGGCACCATAGGCCTTGCCTTGTACATCGAATTGTTACATTGATTTTCGTGTCTGCAGAGGTGGGGCTTCCAGATACAGTAATACAGGAGTACAGGGCTTTTATGGGCCGGCGCTGCATCGCCACTTTTGTTTAGAAAATGATTTCTCTCCGGTGCTTTATTGAACAGGGTATTTCTTTTAGGTAGAGCGACGGGATGATGAAAATTCTATCTGACTGAACATGACTGAGTATAATTTTTGGCACTCCCTACCCACCAGTCCCGTACAGTTACAGGACTCTTTGCCTGCTACTGATAACAGCTAGTTGATAGGTATGGTTTTAGTGCTCAAAGAAGAAAAAAAGGAAAAAAGTGGTTCTTTGCTTCTGCAAAAGACAGCACGACCAGTGGAAGAGACCAAATAATTTAAAGCCTTTTGCTTTCTTCCATTCACTTTTCCGACACTTTTGTCACCGAGGTTCAAAGCCTTTAGTGAGGGGAGCGAAGGGAGGGGGGAGTGGAAGAAAGAAGGAAGCTTTCGTGCATCTTTGTGGCCTTTGGGTTTGAAATTCTTAGATGGTGATTAGAATGTCTTAGATACAAGTACGAAGACATACCACGGATCAGTGGGGCTAGAAATGGGGCAAAAAAATGTAATTTTCATTGCCAGGGATAGGAATGCATAGTGACAAAATCCGGGGGGAAAAAAACCACAGAACCATGATTGCATACTGTATTCCAGCATGTTAGTGAAGGCATCTTTTATTTTGTCAGAATTAAATTATACTTCACGGAAACTATACTTTGAAGCTCAGTGCTGATTCATTCTTTTGGAATGTTCATGCAACAGACTTTGCTGCAACACGATTTCACCTGTGTAGCCTCTTATTTAAGACACAAAGGAGGCCCCTGCAGATCTGAGAGTCACGGTTTCTGTTATTTCTGGTGCCACATCCTTTTCTGGGAGTCTGTGGGATGATCTTTACATATTGTCCTCATAGCCCCTCCTCTCAGGCAAATCAAGTTTTCTTCAGCCAAGGTCTGAGGAGAGAACTGCCTCTTTACACACTCTCCATCTAGTGCTTTCTATTTTATTTTATTTTTTAATTTTTTTTTTTTTTTTTTTTTTTTTTTTTTTTTACTGGGTAGAGGTGATCCTGGGAGATAGGGCTCAAATTTCCCTGAATCAGCATCCCTGGTAGAGAAAGGGTCAGAGAAGTACTTTGAGGAGAGAGCAAGGAGAGAAGCAAGACCACCCCGAGTGTAGCCACTTCAGCAACCTGCCCATGTGCCCATTAACACCCATGCGGGAGGCCCCCCGTACTGCATTCTTGAATGACAAGGATGTGGTGTTCCATCTGTCTCCCATTTAAGGTGTTCTGTGTTGATAACCACCTAAAAACCTCTCATGTCTGAATACCGGGAATCCATATTGGATTTAGTTTTCTAAAATGTAGGCCTGTTATATTTCTAGTTGGTTGCTAAACAGGACTATTGAAATCAACGGTTTTGTTTTTATTTTTTTAACTTAGTTATAAAAAGCCCATCTAATCTGTTTTAATGAGCAAAATATTTCGACACTTATCAACAAAAGATATTCGAGTGGCCAAAAGGAAAATAAAAAGGCTATCACATCATTCGCCATCAGAAAAATGTTAATTAAAGCCAAAAATATACACCATATCAAATTCACTACAATAACTAAAAGTGAAAAGACCAAGTGTTAGTGATGGTGTGGAACATCTGAGAAACTCATACATTGCGGACCACGGGAATGTAAATGGTACAACCGCTCTGGAAAAGCTAGCAGTTTCTTATACAGTTAAACGTACAGTAGTAACATGTGATTCAGTCATTCCACATATATGTATTTTCCAAGTGTACCAGTTATCAGCTTATTGACTCTCAGTTCCATATCTACATTTCATTGCCTGCTATATGATAATGGAACTGAATCCTATAAATAGTTCTCTTTTGCCAGATGGTACAATGGTAAGCTTTAGAAAGAAAGAAAGGCTTTCTCTTTCTGGTTCTGGTGGCCATCTCCCATCAGGCTCTTCAGTGCACACAGTTTTTTCTTGTAGTACCCAGTGGTCAAAGCATATGACCACTGGGTACTGCAAGAAATCAACGGTTTGAAATACACAAATAGTGACATGCTCCAACAGTTTAAAGGGTACATGATTGTATGTTTCACGATGCTTTTTGTTTCCTTTGTTTTAATTTTTTTAAATGTTTATTTTTGAGAGAGACAGAGACAGAATGTGAGTGGGTAAGGAGCGAGTGAGAGGGAGACACAGAATCCGAAGCAGGCTCCAGGCTCCGAGCTGTCAGCACAGAGCCCGTCGCGGGGCTCGAACTCACGGAGCCACGAGATCATGACCTGAGCTAAAGTCGGACGCTCAACTGACTGAGCCACCCAGGCACCCCTGTCCCACAGTGTTTTAAGAGCTAGTTAAATTTGTGGATCTGAATATCAGCCTTCCTACAGTATAAAGACAAGCATATGTTTTATAAATCTAGGTTTTATAAATCTAGGATTCGATCGAGGAAACCCAGAATTAAGTAGAACACTTGCTCAATATATTTTTGGCTACAAAATCATGTAAAGGGGTATTTTTCCTTCTAGACACTTGATGCTATCTATTTTAAACAACTTGGACAGATTTTCAGTTGTCTTCCTGCCGCTTTCAAATCATTTAAAATGTTCATTTTGGGGATGCCTGGGTGAAGTTGAGCATCAGTCAGTTAAGGGTCCGACTCTTGATTGTGGCTTAAGTCATGATCTTAGGGTTGTGCGATTGAGCCCCACGTTGGACTCTGTGCTGGGTGTGGGGCCTGCTTAAGATATTCTCGATGTCTCTCTCTCTCTTTCTTCTCCCCCCCCATATGCACTCTGAATAAATTAAGATAGATAAATAAATAAAATGTTGACTCTTTTCCCTTAAATTTAAAATTAATTAACTATAATCATGTAAATACATTTTCCTCATTGACCCATTTAATAAGTTAACCGTTATAAATATAGTCATAAGTCATTAAACCTATTTTCTCCATCTTTCGAAAACGTCGCAAGAAAATTGTAGACAATATTGGAAAGGAATCCATTTGTAGAGACCGGGCCAGCTCTTTAAAGAGGATCACCATATGAGGAAGTCCAAGGAAGGTTACCACAGGAGTGGGTCACTTTAAAGTAGTTCAGCATACACGTTCTAAAGCACAGGTATACCAATTATGTATTTATAGAATCTGTTTTCATTGAGGCCACCTTTTGTCCTTAAATGTTAGTGGAAGTTGAAAAGCGTGGACTGAGTATCTGGGGAAGATCCTTTTTCTGGAAGCTCTTGTATTATACGTTCGGTTTTGACCCTTCAAGAGTGAGTTCTTCAGGACAAGCTCAGGTAGCCACAAAACGGGAGCAGAGAAGAGAGCAAACCAGTGGGGTTTAACTCTTAAAAGCATTTAATCCTCAGGCTGCATGTAATTCTCTGACACTTAGCACATAACTGTAACGCTGATACAATCCTTTCACAGACTACCAAGTTGAAAGACAAAGCGTTTCCTCAGAAGTCTCAACAGTTGTCTTTTATGTTTTGGGTAGTAAAGGTAGGCTTTATTTTAGCTTTATCTTCTTTTTTTCCTCATATGAGAAATGAAAATAAAGGCCCTGTGAAATGAATGAACTATGAAAATGCATTTATGCAAAATGACAATGGAAAAATAGCTCTGGAAGAAACTGCACCATTAAAATTTCACATCAATGAAAGGTGCTAAGAGAAGGATTGAAGAACATAGGTTGGTAATACGAATCTAATATGGATTTTTTTTTCTGTTCTGCCCGAATAATAACTTCAGTACCTTAAAAAGTAACCTTTAAGATTATTCATTTTTAGACGTATAGTTGTTAAGCTTTTACACATGCAATTCTTTTGCATGACAAAACACAACAATGTCATAGACAACTCATGTAAAAATAAATGTATATATTTTAGAGATTAGTAGAAATACAGCCATTCTGTTGTAGTTTGTCACGAAATACCTTGTAAAGATAGAAGTTCCGTCCTCTTTGGGAGTTGCCATGTTGTTAAATTGATGAAGTGGTCTTTTTTCTAAGTCTTAATCTACGTCCGTTGTATGTTAATAGAGAATCTATTCTCCTTTGATCGCTTGCTTCAACAACTCCAGTTGCCTTTGTGTATTTTTTTTAACAGTTCCCTTTTCAACCAGTGTGCTTCAGGAATTGGGTTTAAACACACTGTTTCATAAACTGCCAGCCTCCTCGGCCGCCTCAGTGCCTCTGATTCCGTAAATCAGATCATAGGCAGCATGCTGTCATATAATAAGGTGTCTGATCCTTATTACCAGTTTGTTGATGCACAGACTCCTTCAAATTGACCATTGCAACACATGGTTTCCCCTGAAACTAGCTGTGATAATTAGCGTGGTTCTAATGAGACAGAATGTCACTGATCTTGTGCTGAACTGTCGAGTATCGGCGCTACGGATGGGAACTGTCAGAGCCTGCCATCTGTGACAGCGCTTGGCACATTCCAGTGGCAAGGTAGAGCATGCTCAATAGAGTATTTTCAAACAAATGGCCCTTTTCTTGACGAGGGCTCTGTATTCTGCTCAACTGGAAGAGCGTTTGCCCCAACTTTGGCCTACGCGACACCCATTTTGAGATCCAAATGTGAATGAACATGTAAATCTCTGTTCCGTGTGACATAAGAGAGGCATCTTTTGTTTAGCAGGTGAATTTGAAGTGGCATTGCTTCCCGGGATTTTTGACTCTCCTGATTGCCCCATATTGTCAGTTAACAGGAAAGCAGTCATTTAAGATACTTTTCCCAATTTTAAAATTGTCTTGTTTAAAAGAGATTTGTTGGGAGTTGGGATGGCTCTTTGTGACAAAGCAGTCTGATTTGACGGAGAGAAAGGGGAAGGAAAAGAAATAGTTCCGAATGTGTATAGGAATACCCAAGTCGAATAGAAGAATTAAAATGGACAGGACACTTAGATCTGGAGGCTCCAGAGAGAAGTAGAGATTTTTTGCTAGACTAAAAGTCCAGCACTGCTTATCATTCCAAAATATGCTTTGTTGCTTTTTATTTCCTCCTCTCTGGCAGACCACACAGGGCTTGTTCTGAAGAACATTTTCACTAATCTGATCAGGCAGCCAAATACGCCGGGAAAACTGCTTTAATGATCCCACTAATTACCTCAAGTCAATATGAACTGTATTATTAGACTGAGGGAAAATATTCCATTAGGTCTCCCCCTTGGGAGTTTCTCCGCTTTGTGATGTCACTGAAGCCTTCACCCTCTCGCTTGTAATTAATTTTATTTACACACGCAGGCACGCACAAGGTCACACCTGCACAACCGGCACTGGCCAGGGAGCTTGTGGCACTCCGGCTTAATCAGATCTGTCATAATTACCATTCTGCATGTTTCTGACACACGCTGTGAAATATTTCAATTTAACTGCCGCTACCAGCACAACCAGATGTAGTGCGAGTGTGGCTGCATTGGAAATATTATTCCTCAGGATAAACTCTCTCCTCCTCCTTTTTCCTCCCACCCCCCCCCCCCTTACAGCTAATGTGGCACAGAAGCTGATGTATCCTGTAAATCTTGAATGCAGCGCTAGATTGATAACAGGCGATTAGACAGTTTAACCACAAACAGCTTGTTCATTTTTCACAAATGAAAACCACATGTGGTGTAACTAAAATTTCAGTCCCTTTTTTTTCTTAAGAGTTGGGGTATGTATGTGTGCGTGTTGAAGATGTGCTTAAATAAAAATAAAATGCAATGAAAAGAAGTTAAGTGTCTATAAAAATGGAGAAGTTGCCTGTTTTTTTTCCAGGTTATTTTATCACAGTCTTCCTCAAATCCCGTTTTTCCACTTTCACCAAAACTCAAATGAGAAAAAGATTCTCCATTGGCCTTTCCATTATTTTCTCTAACGTTTATTTTGGATGGAAGAGATATTATCCCTTTGGTCTATTCCCTTGTTTTTGGTTTTGGTTTTGGTTTTGGTTTTTTTTTTTTTTTTCAGGGTTAAACCTGTTATTTGAACATAAGTTCTGAAAGCATATTTACTGTTGGGCATATATAGCTTTTTAAAGGACGGTTTCCCTATTTTTTTTCTTTAAATGAGAAGTTGCTAGTTTAGGCTTTATGGTCATGTCCCAGGCAATGCAAACACAAAATGGGGCCAGTCAGAAAATTTATTTCTTAGAGATGTCTGTTGATCTGCAGAATCAGTCCGAAAGGTAGAGTTGAAAACCAGTGATTTCTGTTTCTGTAGAAAAATTGGAGATAACCTGGCAGAAAATATAGACTCAGTAGGTAACCATATAAGGCCAGAGTTATCACCAGTCTCAGAAGAATCCAGCCATAAAAAAATTAAAGTATTGGAGCCATAAGAAAGCAAATAAGCCAGGAGAAAACTAAAATTAAGAGAGGAGAAAGAAATAGGATCAGTAGTGATTTAGAATCATACCTCTGGAGAAGGTTCACCACAATCCACTTTAGAGAACATTTAAAACCATAGATACAGCCTAGTTAAAGGTCTTTTAATGCCAAATAAAATACACTCCTTTTCTTTTATCTTTACTTTTACTACTTCAGTTATGAACCTCACTTTTGGAAGCTTCCTAGGATTCTGTGGTGATTCCTATTATCTGATAAGAAGTGCCATTTCCCATAGACCTGTGGGCTTTTTATTCTTGTTCCCTTACTTTATTCATTTTCCCCTCTTCCTTTGTTACTTTCTCACATTAAAAAAAAAAAAACAAAAAAAAAACAAAAAACTTCGCAGTTTTTGACCAGAACTTTCTTTCCTTTTACTCTGGCTATTTTCTGTGTGTTTTGGGTTTGCTCCGTGATCTCTTCCAACTGGAAATTTTAACATTTTCTGCCTCTTCATACTTTATTCTGGCTTGAATATCACCTCCAAGGGAAAACAAAAAGTATTTGCCTTTTAGTTAGAACCCATCTCCCATCTCAGATGCTCAGCAGTTCACATGGTCGATACCAAATTATTAGGTCAGTTTCTTTTCACAGTCTTCATCTGCCTTTGTAGTCATTTTGCAAGATGCAGATATCGAAGATTTGATTCGGTCCTCACCTAAGCAATCTGTCACCACAGTATCTCCTGTTGAATACAGATATCACCTCAAAAATCCTTCTTAACACAAAGTTGAAGGTGCTGGTCACTAAATAGTAAAGTCAACCCACCACTGCTTCAGTCACTTGTATTTCAGGGTTCCCAGGAATACTAAACATAGGATGTATGGGGATGAGTCCAAGAAATACGAGAAGTGGAGGTAAGAAAAAAAATCCTGCACCTTATAACTTCATTGCTACTGCCCTGGTTTTAATAGCTCTGAAGTTTTTGCACAGCTGCCTCAAGATATGTTAGGGATAAGCCAGCATGCAAATTGAATCACACTTTGCAGTCATTAGTAGTGCTCACTAGGTAAAGGAAACTTGATTTGTTCCACAGCGAATGAAAGATTTCATTAACATTCTGAAAAATCATCCACTAGTTTTCCATGTTTGCAAACTTTTGTTTTTGTGTATTAGAATTTCTTTGTTCCCAGCACACCTGTTGATACAAAAGGGCTCAGGAAGCAGAGGGGGGAACAAAAAAGAGTTACTGTTTAGGGATGCTGTTTTATGTATGGAGTTTGAAAATGTTGAGTATTTTGAGTATGAGAGAAGAGCATGTCTTTTCATTCAATTTAATTAGATTACAAAAATCCCGTTGTTCAAAAACAGATTACAGTTTTCTGTGTGGACCCTGCCCCACGACCCTCTCTAATAAAAGAACAGTTTTCATGTATCTGTTAACAAGTCATGGTTGAAGATTCAGTAGAAAGTAGTTCACAAAACTTTATCTTGCCCAACTCAGGCCACTTTCCCCAGCCACCGAGCAGCTGTTCTTTTACATTGCTGTTGGATCCTCCTGAAAACGTACAGGAAAGTAGAATTGGCTATATGCTGTTTTCTTTCGGACCCTCTATTTGCATTTTTCATTGTTGAAATCACCGATATCATTTACAGTGAAGCTCATCTTTTTATTCCAAGCCGACAGGAATGGGAGGGCATGTTTCTGAATATCTATGGCAGATAGAGATAGGGCGATGGTAACTAATTTACAAGCTCACAGATGGTTTATATAACAACTTGGACGTAAACTTCATCTTTCAGAGAAAGCATTGAGAATTGCAAAGAGTGGTGATCGCAGTCCCACTGCTATCATGCCGTGTGGCCCCAGGCAAGTCATTTAACCTCTCAGGCTCTGAACTTCCCCTTTAGGAAGGTAAAATTGGTTGGGTCAGATTATGTCTGACCCAATGTCCCTTGCAGTTCCGACTTCTGTGTGTTTGTTGCTGAAACAGGTGCACGAGTATGAAAGAGGATGCTATTTTGATTGAAGGTACTGCCGACAGGTGTGTTAGTCTAGGAATGAGTCACAGAGGAGGTAAGGTTTTGAATACTGACAGGGCTTAGTTTGGTGGGGGGACAGACAAAGTGCTATTTTGGGGCCTGTGGCCAGAAAGCATTCATAGGTGGGATAGAGTGGGGAGCATTGATTGTTTGAGATCCAGTGTGAAAACTTCATGTTGATAATAGATGACCTGAGGCTCTCGTAAAGTCATCTGAGACTGGTTATTACCTACCTGAAAGACCTCTGTCTCATTATCAAGGACCTAGAGGAACCATTACAATATGGACATGAGATGAGCTCAGTTCAGTTGGGGAACGAGCTTGGCTTAACAGGTGGCAGGGCAGTGGTTTGCCAAAACACTGTGACTGGAAGGTTGCTAAAGAGTGTCCTCCTTAAACACATTTTTTGTTTGTTTGTTTGCTTGGTTTTTTTTAACTGATGCCTGAAATTCTGCCTTTAACATCTCACTGTTTGGGGACTGGTGCAAGTCATGGGAAGGATAACACATTAAAGAGGAAAAACTATTCTTGGTCCATGAGAAATCCCAGGTTTGGAAGAGATGAGTGAAAGAGAAAGTACACCAGAAAAAGGAGGCAGGGAATGACAGCTCAGTTGAAGGAATAGCTTGAAGCCCGTATTTGCAAGTTCATAAATTGGTACCTGTAGCATTTAATAGCTGCTGAGGAGTGCCCATTCCCACATGTCTCCTTTAAATGTTTACCCATTTACTAATGGTGCCAGCACGAGTGCTACTTGTTATGGGTGCTACTTGGCTGGTTCATTGATGGAGTATTTGGTGGTTTAAATGAAATGCAGATTAGCTAAAAATAAATTACTTTCAATAAGGTCAAGGAAGTGAAAGCTGTAAATAAAATATACATTCACAAACAGACAAATGCTATTAGGAAATCCAGCTCAGTCCATGCCAAGCTGTTACTGTCTAAATTGCCTTCTTTCTTCCTGGCTTGCAATTAATTTTTGCTTGTGTGTTTGGAGATTGGGGGAAGGGTAATAGCCTAATGGGTAATGATTTTATTTTAGTATTTTGATTAAAGAGACTAAATAACTTGGACCCTGGATAACCATAAGGACTACAGCCTTATCCATCAAGCTTAATTTCTAGACAGAAAGTTGCGTTGTATTTGTGGATACATTGAGCATTGTGCTACATATATAGTGAGGAG